CATCTTACTCAGGCAAGATACTCAGTCATGCAGTGTCTCTCCCATATATACAGGATGTATACATGTTACTATTAAACTTCTGCATGAAATTTTCTATCAATCTGTCTAATGCATGTTTGATTATTTGCCAGCTTAGAAGAACTCAGAGGGGTAAGGATGATTTCCTTTGCACTCAGACACTTTCATTTCATGAAATTTTAAGTAATCAAGAGTTTCTGGATTTATTTATTTATTTATAAATTATTATGTGAATCAACATGATCACATACTAATTGCAAAATACATTTTTTGAAGATATACTTTGTATATCACAACTTAGAGATAATAAATGTTAACATCTATTTTAGATAATATGTTGATAGGGGGTTAGGGAGGAAGGGAAGAGTACCACTCCTAGTACGCAGGTAAACACTATGTGATTAATGATCTGTCCTCTTTAAATTAAAACTAATTTTGAACTCAGAATCCCTCCCAGGTGCTGCCTAAGGAAGTGCCAGATTGATGCCATCAGAAATTAACCACCAAGCCAGGATATATCTGGGTCAAGAAAACCAAGGAGATGACAACAAACTCTGGGGGCTACACATGACAAACACCAGGTACAACAACCATGATGGGCTCTTTTGTTGGGCTGTCCACTTACTATTATTTTCTTTGTTTAACCCACTAGAAAAAGGCCAGCTCAGGAGGGAATGACAGAACGGATTTTTGTGGATAACATAATCACCATTCTCTCAGATCACTGGCATTCTGAAAATAAAATGCACCATATAGATTCAATTCCTGTCTCTGTTCATTGGTCTTGGCAGAGATGGGCAGTGCAACCCTGGGATTTCTGGATACAATGTGATAGTTTTTTCAACCATCACTAATGCAAACCCCTGGAGACTTTTTTTTTTCCTCTTCATAGTCTATCATGAGTTTTCCCTCCCATAGAAAATTAAAATTCCAAAAGCATTTTAAATGGCCACACAATTATTTATACACAATTGCACCACTATATTTTTTACCTATTTCAAATTAATTGCACATTTAGATTATTTCCAATTTTTCTCCATTTACAAATAGTACAAGTATGATGTACATAAATTGAATGCTTATGTTTTTATCAGTAAGAGAATTTCCAAAAACTAGAGTTTGGAGTTGAAGAAAATGTTGATAACAACTATCAATATTTCCTTCCAACCAAACAGAGGAAACTTACTCTCCCAGTAGCAGTGTACTGAAAATTAGCCTTCCCCATCCCACCAGCAAGAGGAATTACCTTTTTGAAAAGATTCTCTAATTGGCAGGTTAAAAAAAAAAAAGTTCATTATTCTTAAATACTTATTTCTTTGCATTCTGGTGAAATGGAATATATTCAACATTGATTTTTTAGCCACTTTGATTTCTTCTTTCATGAATTTCCTGCTTGTGACTTTGCCTGTTTTTTACTAAGATCTTGGTGTGTCTGAATCTTGTTCCTAATTCATTTATCTCTTAAGGACCTTCTGTTTGGGTGTACTTGGCATCAAATATTTGCTAGTTTGCTACTTATGTTTTAATTTTTTATTATGATGTTCTTTGACATACAGCATTTATTTTGGGTATGTATACATCTCATTTTCCTTTATAATTTCTTCTGTCCTAAGTTTGTAAAACGTCACTGCTCCAACACTCAACCAAACAAATATTAACATTAATTTAAAAGAGAAGGGGGGGGTTAGAAGGGGAAATGTCATATCATTTCCATTAAAATAAATCATTTGTTTTTATTTTGGGGAATTTAAATGCAGAGATCTGGTATGACATAATAATTGATGATACTAATTCTGTAATGTCAAACATACATAATTATTAACAAACAATATTTACTGAGACAAGCCTTCCCTTAGCAGTATGTATTTAAAACAACCATTACATTTTTTTTTTAATCACCAGGAATAACAGAGCTAGGGGATTTCCAAGAAAAGGGAAAAATTAACATCAGTGCATGACTATGTCAGGAAAAATCTAGTCCAACCAATCCCCAAGGACACAAAGGGTTGTATTAGATGGCATTAATACTTTAATTATAAGCAATTACTACCTCTATCACATTTCAGTTTTTCTACCTTTGTCTTAAGGTTACAAAGAAGGAAGAATGTTAAATAAGAAAGAATATAGGTATACTAGAAAGTGTGTGGGCTTCAGAACTATCTGGATGTAAATTAAATCAAATTCTGGATCTACCAGTAACTAGTTAAATCTACCATAAGTCAAATGGTTCTCAAAGTTTCATCATCTGCAACACAGAGGTCAATGTTAATGGCACAAATTGTGCATTCAATAAATTATTTTCCAACGAAATTTCCAAACAAATAACTTTCAAATAAATATAAGGAATTATTTTTCAGTACAATATTCTGTTCATGCATAAATGTTTTTGTATAGTTTTTTTTTTATTTTCCTTTGTTACTATATTTAAGACTAAAGGTAAACAACTAAACTTCTTTTGCTTTGAAAGCATCCTAAAGAAAATATTAAACTATTCTGAGGAACTATAGATGGAAAATCTCCATTATATACAAAGAAAACAAAAATGATAAAAATCTAAATTGCTTCACAAAATAATTCAATTTGCAGTTTAACTAGAAGTATGTAGCATCTATATACACAAAACAAGTCTCATTCTTTTTCTAAACATTTAGTTTTATTTCACAGATGGGGAAAACAGCAATAACAATATCAGATATGGAGAAGAATAAACCACAGGGCAAAACTTTAGAGAATGGACCACTAACTATACAGTAAGTCTGACAATGGAATAACAACAACAAATGTTACTTTCTACTAAAACTAAAATATTATTTAATATAAACATATATTTGGATATAATGAAACTATGAACACTAAAGTATTGAAAAAGAAAAATTTTATAATAGTTTTGGTAACTGAACATTTTTACAATGTTAGCCTAATTCTGCTTTTCTTTTTCTCAAATAAATGCTTCAATTATGTAATAAGAGAATCTAAAACAATTTACAATAGCATGAAAATAAAGCTGCAGGGGGAAACAACAATGTAATAAATCACAACCTCTCTCTGAAAAGAAAAACAATTGTTTAAGAAAAACCCTGCTGTTAGGGCCAGGTACAGTCCAAATTTATTTCTGAAATTCCAGTGTTGCATAACTGAAGAATATTTCAATAGAGCGAACATCAAGTTACATAATTATCAAATTACTGAATTCTATTTTGCTATCACAGCAAAGAACATGATGGGACTGGGGTGACAGCAAGAGGAGAAAAAAATTTAAAGCAGTATATTTTGACTATAACATAAAACAACTTCCACTTCAAATGTGGAAGATCTTTATTTTTTTTTAATTTTTTTAATAGAGGCATGTTTTTATTTATTTGTTTGTTTGCTTGTTTATACATACACTGGGTACAGTCAGAAGAGCGGGAGGGTGAGAGAATTCACCAGAGCCAGAGCGGGGAGCAGAACAGGCAGAAGGACCGAAGTACACTGCTGAGGGGAGCAGCGGGCGGCAGGAGGGGTCTGCGCGCCATGTGGGACCCTCTTCCTGTGGCTGGGGAGCAGCCGGGGATCAAACCGGCGCAGCAGAGGCCGCGGGCAGCTTCGCAACCCAGCGCTCAACCGCTGTGCCACCGGGGAGGCCCCCAAATGTGGAAGATCTTTAAGTGGAAGATCACAAACTTTTAATATTGTATCCCAAAACTAAGCACTATAAAATGATCTTCGTTATTATATTTTTTGCTATATATATATTTTTTTTCTTTATTGAGGAAACATTGGTTTAAAGCACTCTATGTGCTGTAGGAGAATAGGTACACACCTCCTCAGGTATGTTACTACATCATTACCACCAAGAAAACACCCATAATCCTTAAATTTAGACCCCTTTCTTCAAACCTTCACCCTTTCTTTCCCTCTAGCAGCCTTAATTGTGCATTCATATATCTATGGTTTGTTTTAGTTTAGCTTTGTCAGCTTCTTTTTTTTCTTTATATTCCATGTATGACTGCAATCATCCAGTATTTGTCTTTCTCCATATAATAATTCATCTTGATCTTTTTGTTTTAGAGCTGAGTAGTATTCTATCATGTATACATGCCACATCTTCTTAATTCATTCTTTAGTTATTGGGTACTTAAGGTCTTTCCATAACTTGGCTGTTGTAAACTTATTTACCATATGATCCAGCTATTACACTCCTAGGAAATCTCCCCAAAGAATACAAAAGCACAAGTTTGAAGGGATATATGCACTCTTATGTTCACTGCAGCACTGCAGCACAATAAAATGATCTTTAAAAACCTCAGTTCTTGTCTGTTTTTTTTTTTTTTTTTTTTTGGTGGGACCCTCGCCGGTGGCCGGGGATCGAACTGGCGCTGCAGAGGCTGCAGGCAGCCTCACAACCCAGCGCTCAACCGCTGCACCACCAGGGGAGGCCCTCTTGTCTGTAATTTTGTCAAGGTACTTTTAAAGCTTACTCAACAAAATAATAAAGATATAGTCTTCCTTTTGTATCCATGGGGGATTGGTTCCAGGAAGTCAACCAATACCAAAATCCAAAGTTACTCATGTCATGTATATAAAATGGGGTAATAAATGTACAATCCCTCTCTAAAACACAACCTCAACAAAAGACTAAGAAAGCAATCATTATGAGATTAAACAAAGATGGGAAAGCGTAAGCAAAAATTGTATGTAAACTAAGCAGCATCTCTTGTTTCCTTGTTCTCAGACAAAGTTTACAAATCAGAAATGGTTTTACTTAAAGTTTTTTTAAAAGGCAAGTAAATGAGACAAAAGCTTCAGACTTTTTCTGAAAGTGTTATTTTAAAATCTTAGATGGTAATGATAAAGTCTACAGAAGAATATGTAACATACTGTCAATATGTTATAATGACAGATTTCAACTAATAACCTAAAACAACTAAAGCTATCTAATAAAAATTTCATTTAAAAGTTGTTTATTGTGAAGTAAAACTGTAAAGGGAGGTGATACTTACCATGACTCAAAGGTATTACACCTTCCCTGGACCTCTTCTCCTCTTCAGCTGGCTCCTATAACACAGACCATGTGACTTAGACCACATTTCTTAATAGTTGTTAAAAACACTTAAAATCAACATTCATATTTGCAGGAAGCACAGTGCCTTAAAAGGCACTGAGAATGAAGGAGACAATACATCAGAAGCCAGGCCTCTGGGCCTCCCTGGTGGCACAGCGGTTGAGCGCTGGGTTGCGAAGCCACCCGCAGCCTCTGCAGCGCCGGTTCGATCCCTGGTTGTTCCCCGGCCACTGGAGGAGGGTCCCACATGGCGCGCAGACCTCTCCTGCCGCCCACTGCTCCCCTCAGCAGTGTACTTCGGTCCTTCTGCCTGTTCTGCTCCCCGCTCTGGCTCTGGTGAATTCTCTCACCCTCCCGTGCTTCTGACTGTACCCAGTGCTTATATGTATGTATGTATGTATATATGTATAAATAAATAAATAAATAAATAAATAAATCCTTAAAAAAAAAAAAAAAGAAAAGAAGCCAGGCCTCTGGGTGGGTGTGCAAATGCCAGAAAGGTCATACCATGATCTCTGGTGAATTCTCTCACCCTCCCAAGCTTCTGACTGTACCCAGTGCTTGTATAAATAAATAAACAAACAAACAAATAAATAAATAAATCTTTAAAAATAAAAAAAAGAAGCCAGGCCTCTGGGTGGGTGTGCAAATGCCAGAAAGGGCATACCATGATCCATTTGGATGTCAAGGAATCATTTATTGCTGTCTTAATTTTGTATTGGTTAAAATACAAGAGAAAGTACTATTCAACAACAGTTAATATTGAAGCTGACAAGAGTACCTCTCTCTTTTTTTTTTAAAGATTTATAAATTTAATTTGGGAATAAATCTAACAAAAGAGGTAAAGGACCTATACAAAGAAAACTATAAAACACTGTTAAAAGAAATAGAAGAAGACACAAAGAAATGGAAAGACATCCCCTGCTCATGGATTGGAAGAATAAACATTATTAAAATGGCCATCCTACCAAAAGCAATCTACAGATTCAATGCTATTCCAATCAAAATCTCAATGGCATTCTTCAAAGAAATAGAACAATTATTGATGAAATTCATATGGAATCACCAAAAACCCCGAATAGCCAAAGCTCTACTGAAAAAAAAAGAAGGGAATGGAGGCATTACACTCCCAGACTTCAAACTATACTACAAAGCCATAATCATCAAAACTGCATGGTATTGGAACAAGAACAGACATACAGACCAATGGAATCGAATAGAAAATCCAGAAATAAACCCACAGATTTATGGTCAACTAATCTTTGACAAAGGAGCAAAGACTATGCATTGGAGCAAAGAAAGTTTGTTCAATAAATGGTGCTGGGAAAACTGGGTCGCTACATGCAAAAGAATGAAGCTTGACCACTACCTCACACCATACACAAAAATCAACTCAAAATGGATTAAAGAACTAGACATAAGACCTGAAACCATAAAATACATAGAAGGAAATATAGGCGAAACACTACGGGATTTGCACATCAAAGACATCTTTACAGACACATCACCCAAAGCAGTGATAGTGAAGGCAAAGATCAACAGCTGGGACTACATCAAATTAAAGAGCTTCTGCACAGCAAAAGAGACAATAACAAAAACAAAGAGAAACCCCATCAACTGGGAGAACATTTTTGCACCCAACACTAATGATAAAGGACTGATCACAAAAATCTGCAAAGAGCTGATGAGACTCAGCAACAACAAAGAAAATAATCCAGTCAAAAAATGGGCAGAAGAGCTAAAAAGAAACTTCTCTGAAGAGGAAATGCAAATGGCCAACAGACATATGAAAAAATGTTCAACATCACTTGCAATCAGGGAAATGCAAATCAAAACTACCATGAGATACCATCTCACACCAGTGAGAATGGCACATATTAAAAAAACTAGCAACAACAAATGTTGGCGAGGATGTGGAGAAAAAGGAACTCTTCTGCACTGTTGGTGGGAGTGCAAACTGGTCCAACCACTATGGAGAGCTGTGTGGAGATTTCTGGACCTACTAAACATAGAGCTTCCATATGATCCAGCAATTCCACTCCTAGGTATTTACCCAAAGAACACAGAAACATCAATTCCAAAGAGCACCTGCACCCCTATGTTTATAGCAGCACTGTTTACAATAGCTAAGCTTTGGAAACAACCCAAATGCCCAAAGGTAGATGACTGGATCAAGAAGATGTGGTACATATATACCATGGAATATTACTCAGCATTCAAAAAAGATAAACACATGCAATTTGCAGCAACATGGATGGCGCTGGAAGGGATCATGCTCAGCGAAATAAGCCAAAAAGAAAAAGAAAAATACCGGATGGTCTCACTCATAGCAGGAATCTAGAAAACTTAAATAAGGGACCAGGAAAATGAATATAAGAAAGTGAAAATCAAAATCAACAAAAAACTATGAACCAGAGACACTTTTTGGGGGGTGGGGGGCGGGAGGGGAAGGATTGGGGTCAGAATGGGGCATTTGCAATTGTATGGGGGAATATAAAAATAAAATTTAAGATTAAAAAAAAAAAAAGATTTATAGATTTATTTATTTATTTATACAAGCACTGGGTAAAGTCAGAAGTGCGGGAGGGTGAGAGAATTCACTAGAGGCAGAGCGGGGAGAAGAACAGGTAGACAGACTGAGGACACTGCTGAGGGGAGCAGCGGGCGTGGCAGGAGAGGTCTGTCATGCCATGTGGGACCCTCGCCGGTGGCCAGGGATCGAACCGATGCTGTAGGCAGCTTTGCAGCCCAGCGGTCAACCACTATGCCACAGGGGAGGCCCACAAAGGTACCTCTTTTAAGGGATTTGTGGGTCTGAGGGAAGAGAGGCTGCTCCCACATCTGAGTCCTGTCCTCTACCCTACCTTTGCTTTCAGAATACTGGGATCTATTATATATTATGAGACTCAATTAAGGAAACACCCCATTTTAACTAACTTCATTTATGAAATATTTTCACAATAAAAAAGAACATTTGTTAATGGGCATCCACATATGTGTCTTATGTAAATAAATTTGTGGCTATAAACAAAAGATGTCCCTTATAAAAACTCATAATAACTATACAGACAAAATATGAGAAACTGTTTCCGAATTTTAAAATCTTCTAAGTGAAGGGATTCAGTGGGCCCTGAACTCACTTTTGGAAGTATAAATATGCAATAATTTTGATTAGTTCCCAAGAAAAACTGATTGTCATCAGAGAAAATGAAAATTCAGCAGATTAATTACATAAATACCCTCATATAGTTGATGGATGATGCTGAAAAATGAGTGTCATTATTTAGTAAACTTGGGCAGCAATAATTCTTTATTTTTATGTATGTTTAAGACAATTTTTAAAAATTTTTTAAAAAGATTTATTTTTATTTATGCATACAAGAGCTGGGATACAGGCCAGAGGTGTGGAGGGTAAGAGAATTCACCAGAGACAGAGTGGGGAACAGAACAGGGAGATTGATGGAAGTACACTGCTGAGGGAAGCAGCAGGCGAGTCAGGAGAGGTCTGCTGCACCATGTCGGTTACTCCCTGGCCGGGGATCGAACTCATGCTGCAGCAGCTGTGGACAGCTTCATAAGTTGCATCTTAACCCCTTGCGCCAAGACAATTTTTTAAGCTATGCCTAGGGAGACTGACTATCCCAGTTTGACAGAGACTGACCTGGTCACTGCACTGAAGTCCCATAATGGGGAGACGCTTCAGTTTTAGACAAATCAGATTACTGGTCATCCCAGCTATAACAACCATTAACACCAAACCTAAAAACGGACTTCAGATAATGGGATGCCAAAACTCTGAATCAATGTTTCAAAAGAATTGTGCATCTTAATATTTGATCTATTAGATACAATTAATTTCATTTTCATATTACACTTTCATTTTTCTTTAAATTCTATGGCTTTACAGTACAAAATACCAGTTATATGGTAGTAAATCAAATATTTTCAAATCAATAACCCACATATATCCAGCTATGTGATTAAAGTTTCTTTATAGATAGGATGAGTAAACAAGTTAGAATATGATTGCATTAGGGTTTCATCTGATTATATAGCCATATATAATTGATTGTGATAGATTCTTTGAGATGCCTTAGCTTGATCTTTCTGCATATAATTGATTTTATTTTAGTGAAGTTATGAGTCAAGGTACAACTACAGAATGAAATAAATAATACAATGAAGACTTTCCCATCTGTCCTTTGCAATCTGACTAGTTCACAAGACCTCCACCCATCGGTTATTAGATTCAAATATATCCTTGCAGAGTATTCTTTGCGGGAAAAAACAAAGAAACATTAATATACATTATCTTGGACTTGTACATCATTAACACTTTTCTACTTTTTTACTTCTCTTTTCACTGACAAAACACCTCAGAGATCTCATTTTTTTCCATAGCCACACAATATTGCATTAAATGAGTATTTCATGGTTTATTTAACTGGTTTGTATTTATGGATCTTTAAGTTGTCTTCATTTTTTCCAAATCATAGAATGCTACAATGAAAAACTTGTCATTTGGCATATGTGCGAGGATATCTATGGAATGATTTCTCTAAGTGAGCTGACAGGTTAAAGGAGGTTCACATTTTCCTGTTGATGGACACCACAAGCCTCCCATTAGGCCTGTTGTCCCATAGTGTTGCAAATTGACAAGGGTGTGCTGTCAAATTTAAATTTTTGTCAAGATAAAAACGTTATCTTGCTAACATTTTAATTTGCATTTGTTTCTTTAAGAAGAAATTGAAGATCATGTATATTTAAAAGCTATTTGCATTTACTTCTCTGTGAAATATCTCTTTATATCCTTGGTTCATTTTCCTATTGGAATGATTACTGATCTTTTGGTCTTGATAAATTAAGAACATTGATCCTTTGTCTATTGTCTATGGTAAGAACATTATTTTCTCCTAGTTCATCATTGCTGCTTTTTCACTTTTCCTGTGGTATTTTTAATATGCAGAGATTTTTGTTATTTAAGAAATGAAAT